CAACAAAAGGATCTGCCTGAATTTTCCACCACAATCACCCAACAGCTCAAAGAACATTGAAAATCCTAGATTAGTTTCATTTTAGTTTATGTTCAAATTGGTATCCACTCATCCCAACAATATGACAAAATAGAAAGCCTTGGGTGACACAGCCCTTGCTCGGCAAGCTGTGGGAGGACTCTGGGCTTTGCCTTCCACGCCGGGTTTGTTATAAATTACTTGGCAGGACCATTTTATGACGGAAATAATTAGTTATGTTTAGTATTTATAGCTAGTATCATGATGCCTTTCTGCACTGCTAATTAATTATTTTATGGCCAGCATGTTTCAAATGCAATTAGTTAGGTATGGCAATGATCATAATATTTTGCATATTCATGACAACATTCTGCCTATTTACAGCAAAACTTGGGTGTCAAAATCAGTTATTTTCCTTTTGTTATTAGGCAGAATAATTACAGGAAACAATAACAATGATCTCTCACATGTGAATAACATTTTACGATCCAGCACTCCATTCATGTCACCCCTGCATACACCCCTGTGGTTTCTCATAGGAGATGGGGACTCCATATGGTGATGAGATTTGCCTGGGTCTTTAGCCAGCTTGTGGGTCACCAGTGGAGGCTTTTGCTCTTTTTTACATGTGGCTGGGGCCTCATTTTGGCCATTCACTGGGCAGAACTGGTTGCTTAAAAAAAAAAAAGACGATTCTCGATACCCTTCCCCCCAAAAAAAGAGTATTAAGAAAGAAAATTTGGACTATAGAAAGAAACAGAGGAGTCGGTTGGCCCTTGACTGTTTAGAATAAAGGCTTAAATTTTTTTCTTTATTATTACTACTATTGTTACTATTACTATTATTACTATTATTAATTATTCTTTAAAAAGTAAATGTGGAGATTTCTCTAGACAGAAGCAGGGTCTTCTTAGTTTTTCTGCACTGGAGCTCAGAGACAGATTGAGTTACTGCTTCCCCAGTCTTGGTATCCAGCAGGCATACTGCCCTATGTCGAACTATTGAGCAGTGCTTAAATCCTGAGAGCCCAGAAGTAGTATTGCCCTGCAAAGCATGGGAATGTTCTCAATTAGCTTGTAGACAAGATCAATGACATATGCTCTCTTACAGATCTCTGCCTATTTCTCTTCTCTTTAAGCATCCCTGACTAGCCATAATCTTGCACTTCCTTTTCCCCATCTGTCTCCACAAAGTGCTGAAATAGAAAAAAATCAAGAAAACATTGACCACTGATAAGTGAGAGTTAGGTACGAATTTCCCTTTATAGTGTGGACTGTGAGGTTTGGAGGAGAGCAAGAAGCAGGGAAGTGAAGTATTTACATATTTCCAGCATTTACTCTGAAGTCTAGACTAGCCAGAAAAAAAACAAGAAAAAAGTCAATGAACTTAGATTTTTAAAAGATGTGTGCCACAGTCCTTTGTTAAAAACTGTTTACAAATGTGGATTCCATGACCTCAGATTGCCACATTTCTCCCTCTGAAGGATGTGAAATTCTTTTTCCTCTCACCAAATTCTTTCCTGCTTTTAATTCAAGCCCATTTCCATTCATTGAGTTTGTTGCTGACACGAAGCACAAACTGGCTTTGAAGTTAATAATCATTATTTTCTCATTTCTTGGGATAAAGGCAAAAAGAATCCCCTTAGCATTCCCTCAGAAACCATTTTTTATCCCTTTAATCATCTCTGTCACTCCTCTGAACTTACTCCAGTCTCACCACATCTGCACATTACAAGCATGAGTTCTCAGTGTTCTGAAACATGCTCCCAACTTCGTTCTCAGAACCATCTGCCAGCACTTGGGTCCAAGTCTAGAATTAATCCTTCTGTTCTAACAACTCTGGTATGGGTCACAGGCTGGCTGTTTTGATGCCTTTGAAAAACAGAGCATAATGAAAACCAAAACTTAAAGCAACAACAACAAAAAGCCCACAGGGAAATGATGTTTTTAAGGTGAACGGCCAACTTTTGGAATGACAGTCTTTCTTTGTGACCTCAAAGCTGGGCTCCTTTCCCAATTAAGTCTTGAGAATCCAAACTCGTCAAGGCACAGGGTGTAGAAATGGCAACGCCATTCAGAGTCCCAGTAAGTGGAGAGATCCAGTGTGGAGACGGGGTCATTTGAAGTGATCCCTGAAAGTTCTGGTCTATTCTAGGGCCGGGGTGGGCGTTTTGAAACTCCTGAATTGAATGCAGCCCTTCATGTGATATTTATTTCTAAAATCTTGACTATGATTATTTTATGAGATTCTTCAGCATCTGTAAGATAAGCTGAAAAGGCAAAGCATGAATCAGAGAAGAAATTTCCATAAGATACAGGCATTACATATATTCATGGAAGCAGATGCAATTAATCAATTCTTGATAAATAATGATTATTTTATGCACAAATTTACAACAGTGGACCAGTTACCACATCTGCTCCTAACCTAATAGGTCCAGTTCCCTGCCGTGCTTTCTCAGGACCTATCCCTAACCTCTCCCCTCTAACACTACTGCTGCTTTCATGTAGGAGCTTTGCCTACTCTTCAGGGCCATTTTGAAAAACTAAAAATGACTGATGTTGCTTGTGGGTTGAATGATTATAATTATAATTCCTCTTCCTATAAGAAGCCATGCAAACTCATTCTCTTTCTACAGCCTCAACTACAGCTACAGATGTTCCCTTAAGGAGAGAAATTCAAAACACGAACATATTGCCGTCCTGATGAGCTATTCATGTTTTCTTTGTCATCAAAGAGTAGCATAAAAAGAATAATGCAGGCGAAGTGCTTTTAGTAATTGAGAACCTAATCAATTCCACATTGTAATTGTCCCTGTCATCTGTTTACACACCTTTCATGGGTTTACAGTTGTGCTCTTTACAGACAGGCTTTCTCCAGCCCTGCAGGTTGGGAAACATCTGTATTTTGCTCTCTGAACACAGCATAAAGGTTATGTTAAAAGAGAAACATCAGTAACATTTTACAAACGGATTTTGTATTCATTTAATTCATAATAGTGAAATATTAGCATTGGGCATCGCTTTCACCCCAAACACACAGCACTCTTATGTGTATGATTTGTACAAACACTTGACATATTGAGACAGTGTAGAGGAATTTAATCTGTGCATTATTAGTTTATATTAGCTGAATGTACTTTTGAATAATTTGCAGGGCAGTTATTGTCATCCAGCTGAATGATTTAACACATTCCAAGCTAAGTTTAATTTTTTAAAAAGTTTCTCTTTTCCAATTATAATTTTCACACTTCTTATATTTCTAGAAACTCCACAGAATCACTAATACATTTCCAGGAAGATTGACTTGTAGAGGGCTTCTATAGAGATTCGAGCTGACATCTGTGTAACAGTGCCTGAGAGAAAGAAATATTAATATAGTTCCTGCTATATGATGATAGACATTAGAATGCCATTAACAAACCAATTTCTAAAATACAAACTGACACTATATTGGGCATTCTGATCTTAGCCTTGACCCGGCAATATGATCTGGAACCAAGACAAGATTGCTGAAGAATTATAAACAGCTGATGCAAGAGGGAATCTTACTTTTTTCTTTAAACTCCTTAGGCATCTGATATGAATGAAATTAGAGAAGGCAGTGTATGGCTTTTCTGGTTTTCTCACTTTGACTTCTGTTTTCACAGGGCAGTGCTCCTATCTGCAAAATATATATCACATTTTTCTTGGGAAAAGAAGGATGAAAGCAGAAAACTCACCACATATTTTTATACTTTGGTTTATCTGAGATGCACATAAATACAGCAAATTCAAGTGAGGAAGAGAAGTGTGGCTAATCTCCTTCATCCCTGGTTCCTGCCAGATATTTCCAGAGAGGACCCACTGAGTACAGCTAGCTTGCATTTCTGCCCAGCAGTGCTCCTGCTTGAGGTCCACAGGCCGCGTCTTCTGCGTGGATGACAACAGGGCCAGCCTCGCTGCTCCTGCAGCTCTTCATCTTATGCACTTCTACTTCTTTAGAATTTTACAAGCTCACTAATACTGCTTTAATGAATGTAAATGCTGTTAACTTTGCTTTTATCAATTTAGTTTACACTCTTTCTTACCGACATATGCACACAATGATGTCTTATTTGCAAGCCATTGCCCTGGCCAGCACAGAACATAATGAACTCCCCAACCCTGGTCCTTCAAGTTGCTTGTCACGCAGGAATCTTTAGGCAGATGACTAACTATAGTTTACCTATCTTTTTCTAGATCAGTCTCCTACTGTCAAAAACATCTTATTCTGTTACCTCAAAGTTGTCTACCTTGCTCTGTGTTAAGGAAGAGACACTTTGGTTTCGTCTGTGTAAAACTTCCCTATTTGTGTTGATATTACCATTTCCACTTGACAGTCACCTCTTGAGAAACTGTAAGTTTAACAGAGATATGAGCATAACTCTGAGGAGGACCCAGGGATTCATCCCCTGTTCACAGTTGAGGAAGGTTAGCACAAAAGACCCAGGAGGAAAGGTCTGAGGTCCACAGCAGGACAAAAACTGGCTGAAGCCTCTGGGAGCCTTCGCCAGAATGAGTTTCCTTCTTCTCGAGGCTGCTCAGAGCTGAGCATTCCAGGCCTGATTGTCTGCAGGCCACACCAAGGGTACCTAAGCAATCCCTAGCACTGTGATCCCGGCGCAGCGTAAACAGATGGCTGTGCCTGGGAGAATGGGCTAAGCACGTCAATCTGCCCATTCCAGCCTGCAGGGCGAGCAGACCATCTCTGGATCCTACTGCAGGCCAGAGAGCTGTAACTGCACTTTCCACATCTTAGACTTAGGGACCCACAGAGAAAGCACCCTCCTTGGCCTTTGTTATGATTTTAGAACAATAGTTATAAAGCAGGGAGTAGAAAAGTATCTTCTCTGCTCCTTTCATTGTCCACATCAACTAAGAATGTATTTTCATGAAAGGATTGTGTAACTTTTCTTTTGTCTTGACCCAAATGTTAAAAATTAATTTTCTTTGTTTTCACAGCAACAACCTTGACCTAATGGACACCTTTGCTCTTCCTGTGCACACTAAGTCATAGAAACCATGCAGGCCTGTATTGATATCCCTCCCAGGATCTGAGAAGAATCCATCCAGTTTGGCATAGTTGGATTTCAAAGGGATTTAATTGCTGCAAAGTGTATTTGTGAACTGGTCTTTCCACCACATCTAACAACTTCATGAAGTAATTGTTAGCAGAAACAAAATCTGAATTTATTAGTGTTTATTGTTTTTCAGCAGAAATTAATTTTCAAGCATAGTTTTGAGTACCATTTATATTCAAAAACAAATACAGCAAATGTGCTGTTAGGCCAGCTTCAAGATATTCCCGGAGACCCAGTGTGCCAATACTTACTGCACGAAGGCAAACGAGCAAACCCTCCAGAGGGACTGGCCCCACAGCACCAGTGTTTTATCTAATGCTCTGCTTGACTGAGACAGGAGCAGATTTTTGCTTTGCTACAATACCGGTAAGTAGCAAAGTCTCCCCAGGTCTAATTTCATTTGGAATAAAGCAAATAATATTCATGAACTGACCATTTCTGACGTATTCCTATGGATTTTACAAGTGAAAGAATGAACTAAAGCAAGCTGTTGCATGAGCAATCCTCATACATGATTTTCCTAATAGTGCAGGATTTTAGAGGAAATCTAAAGCTCCCTACACCTAAATTTTATACTGAACAATATTCATAGAAGGGCTGCTTAATGTTGCTCTTCAAGCACTCCATGAAGAGTCATATATACTTTTAACTACAGGAGCTGAACATGTACTGATATAGTTTAAAATCTTATTTTCTGTTTTCACTGAATAGAAGAGGACCTGTTGGAAGATTTCCTGTTTTCACTTATCTTTTCTGTATTTCAAAAAATAAAGCGGACATCTTGTTAAAAGATGACAAAACGCCTGTTTTATTGCAAAAGTCTTCTCCTTCACATAGAAAAGGGATCTAGACAGCAGTTCTCCAGTTGCCAGACTTCCTCAACCAAAGGCAGGTGACTGATGAATGACTCCCTCCTGCCCAATGATGCTTTCCACAGGTCTTCTCCTGCTGCACTCAGCTCCACCTACCTGGGCAGGTGAGTTACTCCGCGTGGCCAGAGGGACATGCGCAGCACCTTCCCTCAGCCAGCACTACCCGTCTTCACTCAGTCCCACAGGCTCTTCTGCATCTGCTCTGATGCAAAACCACTAGTCTTAGGAAAGACTTTCCCAGTCCCAAACATGCGGCGTGCCTTTTGATCTTTGGTTTTGCCAGGTGAAATCTGAATTTTTATAAACAAAATTTTGTGATGGCAAAGACCTTTGATGAGGCCATAATTGACTGTTAAACCAGAGGAAGATTTAAGGATTTTGTGTGCTTAGTTTCAGGATCTCTCTTCTCTCCTCTGACAGTGTAATAGCACACTCTTAACTTCCTGATTTTCAAATGTTGGTCAAAGTTGGATTTATTTTTCTTGCCTGACTGACAACTGCAAGGGTCATAGGAAATCCCTGTTCTTTGACAGTTTTGTGTTTCAGGTACTGAGGGGCAACTGTGGATGTCTGTTGTCGCAGTAGTGGTGTCACCCTGAGGCGCAGACCTAATTTGCTGTCTGTCCCAAAGGCAGCGGTTCCCCAAGAGGGAAGCTGAGAAAAGTTGGCAGAAAAAGAGAGCCTTTTTCCTGGGCTTCTCTTGGGGGATCTGGGTAAGTTATGACCTAAAAGTCCTATTTTAGGGCAATAGAAAAGAGGCTCTGTCAATGTGAAGCCTTGTGTAAGGGCACCATAGTAGACCTCCAGCAAGTAGTCAACATGTGTATACCTCAATCTTCCTAATTAAAGAATGTGCCAGTATCTGATGAGTTATAAAAGGTAAATATAACTTGAAGATGAAACATACGCTATAGTAGCTTGCTTATGGTCAGTATTGAATATTAGTTGGTACTAAACTTCAAAGTCTTTTTAATTTAAAAATTTTTTTTTCTTTTTTAGAAAGAGTCTTGCTGTGCAGTTAAGCCTGGTCTTGAACTCACTATGTATCTCAGGCTGGCCTCTAACTCATGGCAGTCCTCCTGCTTCAGCCTCTTGAGTGCTGGGATTACAGGTATCTGCCACCATGACTGTCTTCTTAAATATTTATTAGTACAGGTTTGCAGTACATTAAGTTTACGTTTTTTGTGTGGAGCTGGTAAGTGTACACAGCAATCTTAATTTTTTTTTTCATCCCCTTCCTTCCCTCCTTGCTTCCTTCATATCTTGATCCTCTTCCCCTTTAAGAAAGGGTCTAACCCTCTAATTCCTATTACTTGTCTTTTACTTTGTTCTTTATTTATATTTTGAATTTCTCATATAAGAGAAACTGTGTGATATTTAAGCTTGTGTGTCTGATTTATTTCTCTTACAGAATTTATTGTGGTCTTAAGGTTCATCCATTTTCTGCAAGTTACTCAAATTTATTATTCTTTAGGGCAGAGTAGTACTCCACTGTGTATGAACACCGCACTTTCTCTATCTATCCGTTGACAGACAGACAGGCAGTTTCTGATATTTAGGTGTTATGAACTGTGCTGCTATAAATATGGGTGTGCGTACCTCACTGTGAATGAAGACTTTAACTGAAGTCTTACACATGAAACTTTCTTAGGTGGAGAATTTTATGTTATTAAAGTCACATTCTTCCTCTTTAATGTTTTTTAAAAACTATATGGTGAACATTGTAAGTATTTAATGTTAATCTTTACCTGTGAAATGAGAGGAAAAGGAAAAGTGATAGATGAGGGTAATGCAGGTATGTGGTCACAAATGAGGCAGAGAATCTGATTTGGGCTTTTTGATTAGAAAAACAGAAACAAGTTATATTTTTTGTTTGTTCATTTTTGTGCTCCAGTACTGGGGATTGAACTCAGGGCCCTAGTACTGAGCTATATCTCCAACCCTTTTGAATTTTACTATTTTGAGACAGTGCCTTGCTGAGTTGCCTAGGCTGGGCTCAAACTTGATATCCTCCTGCCTCAGTCACCTAGAATTCTAGTATGACAGGTGTGTGCTATCATGCTTGGCTGGAAGTTAGTTTTAAGCGGTTGCAGTATCCAAAGGCATTGATCTTTGTTATTTAACCTTCAGATAACACAAAACTGCCCAAGCTATTTTGTTGCTCAGTAATTCTCAGAGGGGTGCCTTCTGATACTTGGGTGTCCCTGGACCTTTGTAAGAGGTCTGTAAGGTCAAAACTCTTTTTATCCTAATTCTGAAGTTTCTTTGCCTTTCTCATTTTGCTGCTGTCTGTCCCGATGCTAGAAAGCAATTATGAATAAAAGTGCCATGGTGGACTGTTTGTGGCAAGAGCACCAAGTTCCGTCACTAATGACTGTGGTCTTCACTGCCACACGCTCATCATTTGAAATACAAAGCCGCCTCTCTCAAGAATGCCCCCACTGAAGGAGAATAGTCACTTATTTCCTAGGATCTCAACTCTGAATTCCTGCCGTTTGATGCCACGGGACTAACACACATGTGTGTGGCGCTGCTGCCATACCCCGGGGCATGGTGGTTGTCTGGAGGGAAAGCACTGTTTGATCAGGAAGTTATGAGCTGTATCTTGTTTTTCTTTCTCTTTCAGGGCACAATTTCTACTCAAGAACGATGGAAATTCACACTGTGATGACTCACATTTGAGCTTTTGGCAGGCATTTTCTTAAATATGGAAGAAACAAGCTGGTTACTTCAAGAAAAACAACTGATTGTGTTTGTTGCCAATGATACAGGTTGAGCTTTCAAGCAGAAAATCAAAAGTTTAGAAAGCTTGTATTTACCATTATCAGCCTGATAGCTTCCAGATACTTAAAGGCGCTTTTGGAGAGACCAGTGTTGATAATAACAAATGTGGTTATTTGTTTCATGAAATACATCAGCCTCTGGGAGAGCTGTATAACTTACTGGCTTGTGCACAAATGTCTCACCACCGCCCCATGCACTCATAGGTGGGGCTTCTGGAGGTTGCTGGGTCAAGGGTGAGTGACGCTGGGGTTAATGGTGCCCCACCATGGGTGTGAGGGCTGCTTGCCTCACACCCATGTGTGAATATAAGGGGTAGAATATAAGGGGCAGAAAGAGGTCTGGTGCCATTGCTTGCTGCTTCTGCTGTTGCCATTGCTTGCTGCTTTGCTGCCTTCTGCCTGCCATACCACGGACTGTGGAGCCAGCTGACTGTGAACTGAAACCTCTACAAAATGAGCTGAAATAAACCTTTCTTCCTTTGAGTGTTGAGTATTTTGTGTCAGCAACAAGAAAAGTAACTAAGACACATAGAGAACAAAACATTTCCAAGTGACTATAATATTACATGTGGTCTAAAGGTCCACTCAAAATGCAAGTTACAGCAGTGGATTTTCATGGAAGTATTAAAAGTTTACTTCTATAGTTTCACATTGGTTATTGTGACTAATTTGTAAGGAACTGTGATTTGTTGAGTTTTGGTATAGCATTAAAGAAGAATATTCACAATTATGTGAAAAGGTCACTAGAACAGTCTACCCTTTTCTAACTACATATGCATGTGCGGCCAGATTGTCTTCATATACCTCAACCAAAACAAGCAAATTGCAAATGACTGAGGCAGAAACAGACATAAAACTACAGCTGTCTTCTGTTATATCATACATGAAAGAGATTTGCCAAAATTTAAAACAATGCCACTCTCCTCACTGTGTTTAAAAAGTTATTGTTATTTAAAATATTTGTTGACATGTAGTGGGTATGTTATTGTAACTTTAAAATAAGTGGATAAAAAATATTTTTAAAACATTCCAAAAAAAATTTCCAGTTTTTCCTTCTGCTAAGATAAATAATGACAAGTATAACTCATATGCCCAAAGCTCTCTAGGGGCTCAATAATTTTTTTTTTTCTCAGAGGTTTTTACTTTTAAAAAGTACTCATATACATAAGGTATGAACTTAAAATTCATCATACATTTACATCATTTTTTAGCTTGACTTCCTATTAAATCCTTAGCTTTATTGATTTTGGCTGCTACATAAGGAGATCCGCCTTTGATGGGGTGATTTAAGAGCATAATTCATTGATGAGCGTCTCAATTTTTCTTTATTGGCACTGGGGCTTATACCTAGTATTCATGTTGCTTCCCATTGTCACTTTGGGCTCAAACCCATCTCTGTAATAGCCACCATGGAAGGTAGATTTTGGTAGACTCTGAAAAACTTGCTTTACTTGAGGGTCCATATGCTTCATGGCTTGTAAAATATAACAGCCTGCAAATCCTGTAGCAGCAATAGTTAGTCCAACTGCTACCACCGTACTGTCCATGTACTGGCCTTAACTGGAAGTGAAGTCCCTCCCAGCCCAAAGGCCAAGGCCACAAAATACCTACCTTCACCAAAAAGCAGTACACCCACTGCCCCATGCACAAACCTGACAAGTACAGAAGCCCTACAAAATATGGCAATACCAGTTATAAACTAAACCCAGTAACTTTTCTCTGAGGGTAAAGAATAAAGCATTCCGGGGCCAAGAAGTATGAAAACTGCTCTGCTAGATGGTCTCTTCCAAGGGTTTGAAAAGTTGAAGAAGTTTTGAATTTTTTGTATGTAATTTCCACTTCATGGCCTTATCGGTCCTATGGGCAAAAACACTCACTCCTGGGATGACTGTAAAATGGGAAATGTCACACTCTGTTATGATATCAAACACTCATCTCCAATTTGTTGCCATTTTTGGAGTTTCAAGAGTACATCACCATATTATAGACTCCAAGAAAGAAATTGTTAGACTTTGCCCACCCTTGTTTTTCTAAATATACTGGAGGAGGGCTGACAATCTGAGCAGCATGACTTGAGGGCTGGCCTACGAAAGAAACATTTTGCATTTTCCTCTAAACACAACTTTCTAGTTTTATACTTTGTTGTTGCTGTAATGTGAATTATTGTCTTGATTTGAATTGCTTTTGGTATTCTTAAATGTTTTATCTTTACTTTTGAATATTTTAGCAATTCACAAAAGTTCAGAAAATAATGCAATGGGTTTCCTGAACATACAACTCACTATTAAGCCCCATTCCTATGACACTGACTATTAAGGGAGATTAAATTGCAACATTTAAAAATAAATAAATAAATTGCAGCATTTGTGTTAGATTTTATTCTTAGTTTTAGTCACTCTCTTGTCACTGAGACACAATAACCAACACCCAGAGCTTAAAGAAGGAAAGATTTCTTGTGTCTTTAGTCTGTACAGGTTTCAGTCCACGGTTGTGAGACTCCAAGGCAGGGTGGTAGAGCAGAGTGGCATAGTGGAGGAACAGCTACTCATATCACTGTGGCTGAGAAGCAGAAAATGAAGAGAAGAGCTGGGCGGGGATAAGCCCTTCCAGGCCATGCCCCTGAGAACTATCTCCTTGGACCAGACTCTACCTCCTAACAGGAAGTCAGCTATACTGGTGTATAATCCAACCATCTTCCAAAGATCCTGCCTATGATCACATGAGGCTTTAGGGGGACATCTAGATATAAAGCATAACATGAGTCCCCAAAGACTCATGCACATCTCTTTGTGCAAATTGCATTTAGGCCATCTCTAAGAGTTTCCAAAGTTCTAACAGTTCCAGCCTTGCTGAAAAGTCCAAGTCCAAAGTCTCCCTTCAGATTAAGGGCAAACTCTTAATTGTGAACCCTTGTAAAATCAAAGAGAATGTTAAACACTTCCAACACACAACAGCACAGGGCAAACATTCCTATTCCAAAAGAAAGGAATACAGGAAGAGAAGCCAATGGGACCAAAGCAAGACTAAAATCTATGAGGACAAACATTAAATACTGTACTTCCATATCAAGCATGAGGGGCAAGTATTGGTGACAAGATGTGAACTCTAAAGGGCTTGGGTAGCCCAATTCCTATGACATTGCTAGTGGTTGCCACCATTAAAGACTCTTTCTTGAGCAGGTTTTGCTTACTCCTTGAGGCATTCCTCAGATATTCCACATTCTTGGCTTCAGCTTTCTGGGATCC